CCTATTTTTTTTCTCCATCCCTGTTTTTTTTCTCCATCCCTGGTTTTATTTTTTGTCCATCCCTGGTTTTTTCCTCCATCCCTGGTTTTTTTTTTCCCCATCCCTATTTTCTCCTCCATCCCTGCCCATCCCTGTTTTTTTTCCCCTCCAAACCCGAGGGGTTTGAGGGTTTGGATTCCTCAGAGCACGGGCCGCGTCCGTCCCGTGGGCCTTTCCCTCGGGAATCCCTGTCCTGATTCCCACCCCTCCGTGTCCTGCAGCCAGGGGATGACATCGTCCTGATGGCAGAGGCCCTGGAGAAGCTTTTCCTGCAGAAGATCTCGGAGATGACGCAGGAGGAGACCGAGATCGTCATCGCCCAGACCAAGGGCCGGGGCCGCGCCCGCAAGGAAGCAGGTCCGGAATTCCGGGGGGGGAATCGTGGAATTCCGGGGGGGATCGCCTGGCTCTGCCGGGCCTGGGGGCTGATCTCACCTCCCCCCCCTTCCACTGGGAGGGTTTAATTAATTGAGGGATTGATTAATCCAGGGAAATAGAGGGAAATCCTAAAGTGATTTGTGGGAAATAGAGGGAAATGCTGAAAGGATTTCTGGGAAATAGAGGGAAACCCTGAAGGGATTTCTGGGAAATAGAGGGAAATGCTGAAGGGATTTCTGGGAAATAGAGGGAAATGCTGAAGGGATTTGTGGGAAATAGAGGGAAACCCTGAAGGGATTTCTGGGAAATAGAGGGAAACCCTGAAGGGATTTCTGGGAAATAGAGGGAAACCCTGAAAGGATTTCTGGGAAATAGAGGGAAACCCTGAAGGGATTTCTGGGAAATAGAGGGAGATCCTGAAAGGATTTCTGGGAAATAGAGGGAAACTCTGAAGGGATTTCTGGGAAATAGAGGGAAATCCTGAAAGGATGTCTGGGAAGTAGAGAGAAGTCCTGAAGGGATTTCTGGGAAATAGAGGGAAATCCCAAAGTGATTTCTGGGAAGTAGAGGGAAACCCTGAAAGGATTTCTGGGAAATAGAGGGAAACTCTGAAGGGATTTCTGGGAAATAGAGGGAGATCCTGAAGGGGTATCTGGGAAATAGAAGGAAATCCCAAAATGATTGTCTGGGAAATAGAGGGAAACCCTGAAGGGATTTGTGGGAACTCGAGGGCAATCCCAAAGGGATTTGTGGGAACTCGAGGGTGATCCCAAAGTGGTTTCTGGGAAGTTGAGGGCGATCCCGAAGGGATTTCTGGGAACTCGAGGGTGATCCCGAAGGGATTTCTGGGAACTCGAGGGTGATCCCGCCCCGTTGGATCCCGCGTGGCCCTGGATTGGGTGGGACGCCACGTGGTGCTGCCCTCCTGTGGCAGCCCCTGGAACTGCAGCCCACCAGCCTCCAGCTCCCAGTGCTGAAGGAATTCCCACTGGAAGAGGGAAACAGCAGCAGGAATTCCCGCTGGGAAGAGGGGCAGCAGCAGGAATTCCCGCTGGGAACAGGGAAGGAGAAGGAATTCCCGCTGAGAACAGGGAAGGAGCAGGAATTCCTGCTGGGAAGAGGGGCAGCAGCAGGAATTCCCGCTGGGAAGAGGGGCAGCAGCAGGAATTCCCGCTGGGAAGAGGGGCAGCAGGAGTAGGAATTCCTGCTGGGAAGAGGGGGGCAGCAGGAATTCCCGCTGGGAGCAGGGCAGGAGCAGGAATTCCCACTGGGAGCAGGGCAGGAGCAGGAATTCCCACTGGGAGCAGGGCAGGAGCAGGAATTCCCACTGGGAGCAGGGCAGGAGCAGGAATTCCCACTGGGAGCAGGGCAGGAGCAGGAGGAATTCCTGCTAGGAGCAGGAGGAATTCCCACTGGGAGCAGGGCAGGAGCAGGAGGAATTCCCACCGGGAATAGGGCAGGAACCACCCCCCACCAACCCCGCCCGTGCCTTCCCTCGGCAGTGACGTCCAAGCCCGGCTCGTCGTCGGTGCCCAACGCCGCTCAGGCCTCGTCGCCGGCGCCCCCCCAGAGCCTCCCAACGGCGGCACCGCCGGCCCATCCCTTCCCCTCCGTCACCCCCGACCTGCTGGTGCCCAGCCCGGTGATGACGATGGTGCCTCCGCCCCCACCGGCCCCGCCGGCCCCACAGGCCCCCGCGCCGCCCGCCCCGGCCCCGCAGCCCCTGCAGCCGCACCCGCCCGTCATCCCCACGCCCGCACAGCCCGTCAAGGTGAGTCCCAGGGCAGGGGGGGAGGCACGGCCTGGCGTGGGGTTTGGTTTGGGTCGATTCGCTCTTACCCACCCCCCAACACACACAGAGTTCCTGTTAGTTCAATCATGGAATCGCAGAATAGATTGGGTTGGAAAAGACCTCCAAGATCATCCAGTCCAACCCCTGATCCAACTCCAATTACTATATCATGGCACTAAGGGCCACGTCCAATCTCTGCTTAAAAACCTCCAGGGATGGTGAATCCACCACCTCTCTGGGCAGGCCGTTCCAATGCTTGATTACCCTCTCTGTAAAGAATTTCTTCCCAACATCTAACCTAAACCTCCCCTGGCAGAGCTCGAGCCCATGTCCCCTTGTCCTGGGAGAAGAGCCCAACCCCCACCTGGCTAGAACCTCCCTTCAGGTAGCTGAAGAGAGTGATGAGGTCACCTCTGAGCCTTCTCTTCTCCAGACTAAACAACCCCAGCTCCCTCAGCCTCTCCTCACAGGAGAGAAGGTTTGTGCTGACCAAAGAGACGGGATTTGGGACAGTAATATTAGCATTTATTACTAGTGAAATAAAACTAAAGAGCTGCATCTGCGATAATTTTACAGAAATACTTCTCCCCCCTTTATATCGGTCCAAGGAGGAGGAGGAGGAGTCTCTTTCTCCGTTCTCAGAGCTCCAGGTCTCTCCAGTAACTCTGCAGCATTTTAAAGCTCTTTTTCTGTTATCTCGGGACGACAGCTCTGATTTGCCGTGGCTACAACTCTTTCCTCTTTCTCTCTTGCTCTGTGTTGGCCTCCAGGGCTGGGTCAGGGCTGGGGACACCCTCAGTCACGGGGTCAGCGTTGGTGTCACCAGCAGAGTTGGGTTCCAAGGCAAAGGGTCCAAAAACTTGAGGTTTTTGAGAGCTCCGAGGAGCCAGCGGCGACCTCTGGGGTGCTGGTTGGGCTTGGGGAGTTCACGGAGTCAGGGAATGGTTTTGGGGTGGGAGAGGCCCTAAAGCTCGTCCAGTCCCACCCCCTGCCCCGGGCAGGGACACCTCCCATGGCCCTGGGGGGTTCCACGCGGGTCTGTCCCCCTCAGACCTTCCTTGGGCTGTTTCTGGGACTCGGGAAGAGAATCCCAGCCCAGCCCCTCGACCTGGGCTGATCCAGGTGGGATAATCCCAGCCCAGCCCCTCGACCTGTGCTGATCCAGCCAGGATAATCCCAGCCCAGCCCCTCGACCTGTGCTGATCCAGGTGGGATAATCCCAGCCCAGCCCCTCAACCTGTGCTGGTCCAGGTGGGATAATCCCAGCTCAACCCATCAACCTGTGCTGATCCTGCCAGGATAATCCCTGTTTTTGGGACTTGGGAAGAGAATCCCAGCCCAGCCCCTCGACCTGTGCTGATCCAGGCAGGATAATCCCAGCCCAGCCCCTCGACCTGTGCTGATCCAGGTGGGATAATCCCAGTGTTTGGGACTCGGGAAGAGAATCCCAGCCCAGCCCCTCGACCTGTGCTGGTCCAGGTGGGATAATCCCAGCCCAGCCCCTCGACCTGTGCTGGTCCAGGTGGGATAATCCCAGCCCAGCCCCTTGACCTGTGCTGATCCAACCAGGATAATCCCAGTTTTCCCACCAAGCTCAGGCCACGCCAGCCCCTCTGCAAGTGCTCCCAACGCCCTTCCCGTGGCAGTGACTCCCGAGTGTCGATCCCAGGGGGTGACCTCACGCTCTGCCCCTCTGGAAGGGCTCCCAACACCCAAATGTCAATCCCAGGGGGTGACCTCATGCTCTGCCCCTCTGGAAGGGCTCCCAACACCCAAATGTCAATCCCAGGGGGTGACCTCACGCTCTGCCCCTCTGGAAGGGCTCCCAACACCCAAATGTCAATCCCAGGG